CCTCAATATTGCTCAATATTTATGAGATGACAATACAGGAACAATATAAATCCCTCAATATTTATGAAAAAGTTGCAATTCCATGAACGAATTATCTAATTTTACAGGCCATTGATTCCCACTGTGGCACTGCAGACACAGCACAGCTGCCTGGTGGCTGGTTAAACTCCATTGACTTGTGAAAAATTGAAAATAAAAATTTTCCGCGACATTATTAAAGTAAACATTGGCGAAAAGGGTGTGATTATGACGAGCCAAGCGAGGAAAGCTGAGCCAAGGCAGCCAAGGATAAAGCCGGAGAACCGAGCCGGGCCAAAAGTCTTCTAGAACCGGGTCGGGTGGCTGTCGTTGCCATGGCAAGCATCCAATTGTGGTGGCTGTTTATGGCGTTTGCCATGTGTCTGTGCGAATTGACGTCAGCGGGGCCATGGCGGGGGATTTTGGGATAAAATGGGAGCTTCTGCTGGCGTGCCCTGCCGTACCGTGCTGCTCCACCGAACACACCGCTGCTGTTCGTTATTCGCCTTTTGCCATTTCGCGTTTTAAAAAGTTCAGGCTCCCAGTGGCGCAATCAGCGCCCAGAATAACCAAAAGGATGAGCGTCGTTTTCGGGATGAGCCACCACAAAGCATGCTACATTATTCACACACCCCCGCAGTCGCTCAGCTCATGCACTATGGGTGCTTCTTGCTGGGTGGTTGTTGGTGGGTTGTGGGTGGTGGCGGGTTCAAATGATAACAATGCTGCTGATGACTTCCGCGTGCTGACTTGACTGCCTGACTTACCCATATACACCGCCAATACCCCCATGTATAGCCCCGACCAAATCAAAAATTGAAAATAAGGTTAAGTAGCTATTAGGCGCATAATGCATTGGGGCATGGCTTCGTGTACATTATAAATGGCAATTTAATAAACGACTTGTGCTACGACGGAGGGAAATCGATGCACTAACAGAAAATATTCTAGTAATAATATTAAAACTGGAGTAGAGTGTAGAGTAGTTTCGCTCTTAATATCGATTTGATAGCCATAACAAAAATCTAACCAAAAGCAAACTCAATTATTTCCATATGAGTTACAAAATATAGTTCATTAATTGCCCATCTAAGACCAATATTGTGGAGCTTTAAGATTTCTCCTTGTGTGCCATAGCAAGCTATTGAAGCGATGTCTTTTGGGCCGCGTAATTACCTTGGAAATTTTCATTAGAATTTCACGGCGCATTACAGCCAGAAACTTGGTGTGTTAATGCCACACCCTCCTCCTTCCCTCGTTTCGATCCCCTGCAGGCCTTTTTCTGGAGGCCATCCAGTTTTCTTTCCTGTTTTTGGGGGGAGGAGCACCATGCCATAGCCCCAGGATGGCACACAAATGGCGGCAGCCCGGGCGGAAAAACTTTCGCAAAACTTTGCATACTTGCTGGCGCGTCGCCTTTTGCCAGAAATTTGTATGTACATTGTACCACGTTGGCCATTTGTCCGGAAAAAGGAAGAGATCCCAAAAGCTGGCAATCAATCAATTGGCCAGTCTCTCGACTTGGGCGGCTAATTGGAGCGGCTAAAAAGCATGGCCATCCAAGTCCATTAAAGAGGGCCAAAATCAGGGATTGGAAAGCTCGGATAGTGCCCTACTTGAAATTCAGCGTGATTTCTACAAATATTGAATAAATTTCTGTCTTTCGGGCTGCAGAGAGCTGCAGCTCTGCAGGTCGGTATTACGCATACGTCAAGTGCGACACTTGAGGAGTCAGCGAGTGAATTTTTCATGGCTAATTGATTGGCAACTTGGGAGCAATGAGCAGCGTCGCTCCGGTTCATAAATAATGGATAATGGGGCGACGCGAGTGCTAGGAATGTCGCCAGCACAGATAGCGCTATAGAATGCACCTGTGACCCCCGCCACTCACGCACACAGACACACTTAACCCCGCACACACACTAACACACACACAGAGAGATTTCAATAATGGCTGCCATGGCGTTGGCGACAACTTTGATTGCCCGAGCATGTGGGCAGGCGGTGGGAGGGCAGGCTTCCAGCTCCAGGAACAGCTCCAGGCAGTGCAACAAACTTAAACTACATTACATGCCACGACAATCCTTCTGGCTCTGCTTGTGCTTCGTCCTTACACTACAAAGAGCCACACTTTCAGGTTACTTTTGAAATAAAAACAAAAAAAATTTATAGAAACTAGGACTAGGATTAGCAATAAGATATACCTCAGTAAGAATTAGAGCCTCAAAAGGAGGCATCTCTATAAGAGTATACAAGTCCCCTTATTTTGTATCCGTGTACTTTTCTCCTTCCAGGGCTGTGTCATATGCATAAGTGACTGCATCATCTCGCAGCCACCCGCTCCTCAAAGTCGCACACAAAAGTCATCAGCAATAATGAGATGGTAATGTTAATGAAATTTGTTGCCCTGCTCTAGCTCCATCTCCAGCCGTTGCTGGGCAAAGTTTCGAGTGCCCGAAACCCCAAGCCAAGCAGAGCCAAGCCGAGTAAGCAGACTAGTCACTGAAGAGTACACTAATGAAGTCATTGATAAGCACAGACAAGTGCAACAACAATCCGGTCGGGTAATGGGAGTATCAAGTATCCTGCTACACAAGAAAATATCTTCTTATTTGTTAGATAATTCCCTATTACGTTCCATAATGTAAAAGATAAAAATATTTGAAACAAAGGCTGGTTTGTAGTTAAAGCCAAGTACATTATCTGGAAACTGCCTGACATCTCTGGCCATCTCTGGCGCCCACAATCGTGGCCCTTACATCTCATATGACCGAGTTGATTAGCTCATTGGAGTCATTTGCTTGCATATTCGGTTGCAGCGCGGGAGACAATGCCAGACATTACTCAACTACAGGAGAGGAAGCCATCAGATGGGTGGGACTGGAGGCTGGAGGGTGGAGGAGCTATAGCTACTCGTACTTGAAATCTCATTAAAGTTGAAGCGTTTGTCTGCTGCTGAAGCAGCCGGGCTAAGGCCCTTTGCTAGAACGACAAAATTTAATTATACAACACAAAGCCAAAAGAAAGCAGTCCAAACAACATCAACAAAAGCTGCGCCAAATTGGAATTTCGCCCTTTGACTTGTGGCCCCCGAATAAAGGCCATTCTCCTGGGGTCCCTTCTTGGCCAAGTATTTCCTTGCCGTGGCCTGTTACCACAGTTTACACAACTTACAAACAAGCCCACATGCACTGAGTCGTGCATTTTAAAAGAGTGTGAAGAAAAACGAAGGAAAAGCACAAATTTGAATATAAAAACGATGCGGTGCGGTACTGAAAAGCCAGCCACACCCCGATGCCACAGTGCAGCTGTATAATAATTGCGGTTATTTGCTGGAGGCTGCACATCCTGCGGTCAGTGCGGTTAACCAATTGGGCGGGCTCGACAGGCTCACACCTACCGGGGCAGGGGCAGGAGCAGGACACACCCACCCGAGCAGACAGCTGAATTACAAAGGCATAACCCAAGGAAAGAATAACTCTTTGTGCGCCAGAAGGTAGGCAATGGAAAACGAGTCCAGGAAAACGAGGAATGCGGAATACCCTTTGAAAGTAAATCGTGAAATTATATATCAAAGCTTAGACTGCTATTTTTATTTATTTCAACCATAATAGTACTCTAAGAAAGTGCTATTTAATGCTTTTTGTATAAACTACAGCTTTCATCTCCTGGGAGGGCCACCTGCCCACAGAGTCCTCGCAGTACTTGGCTGAAAAAAAGTGCTGACTCGGCCAGGTCGAGGCATGTGCAGACATCAGATGGCAGCCAAGGCTGGGGAGTGGCGGCACAGGTGAGACATTGGCCAGAGAGAACGAGACTTCCGCCCGGGCTGGCCCAGATGGATGTGCTGGATGGATATGGCTGACAGGGCCAGGATGCTCGGGATGCTCGGGATGCTGAGGCGGCGACGTTTGGCAGGCCACTCGACCACAAAAGCATAAGTTGCCAATTAAACTGGAATGCTTTGCTGGCAGCCCGCAGCTGCGGCACAGAGGCTGGCCACCTACCCCACCCCACCCGTTACACTTGAAATAATAATATCCACTCGAGTCGCATCTGAAGGGGCCCATCCACAGGCGAGCATGTTCGGCGAACATGTTGTGCTCGACGAAATTTTTCCTGTGGATGGTAGTGTTCGTTGTCAAATTTTGTGTTTGTCAAAATGTTCGTATGAAATTGAAATCGTTCTATTTTGACAACGTTTGCAACAACATGCTCGCCAATGGATGGCAATGTTGGCACGAACGTCAGTTTGAAAAAACGTTTTGGTAGAGAAAAATGAATAAAAAGTGCAATATTATTTTCCAATATTATTTATGGCAAATACTTATTGCCATAAGTGCAATTAGAGTGCCGCTATAGTTGTCCGTTGACATATTGATAGTTTGAAAATGTATCGAAAAATGATGTTCGCACGAATGTTGGCTCTAGTTAGTGGGGAAAATGAAATTCAAGTAGGCGAGCATGTTGACGAACATGCTCGCCTGTGGATGGGCCCCTTGAAGGATAAATACTTTGGCTAAGCAGTTAAGTTTAAATGACAAGCTCGTCATGCTTATGGCGTGTGGAACTCGCAATTATTTCTCCGAGTGCCCGGCCAGACAGAGGAGGAGCTGCCTAGCTTGGCATTAATTTCATAACCTGCCTTTTTATGGCCAACTACCCAAATTGGGTCAACATTGACAATGGCCAGGCGGCCAGAAGAGGAGCCGGAAAAGGGGCGAAAGTAGAGCATTCCGGAGTCCAGACTCCCGAGGACCTCCACTTGCCGCTTGCCACTTGCAATTCATTTCGCAACTGCCAGTGTCTCTCTGGGTTTGGGCCAGAGCGTGTGGATGTGCAGGACTGGTGTTGGTTGCGCCGCCACTTCCGCTTCCAGTTACTTTGAGTGTAATAATTATCGCCGCATCGCTGCCTTTGCAATTATGCAAATTTGTCCGAACTAATTGTCTATGATTCCTCCTTTGCCATGCGAAACTTACTTGATTCGATTGTAGACGAGCAGCTCGGCAATGTCCCGCCCCAGGCCGGAGTATGTGGTCTCCACAAAGACCAGGACCTTTGGATCGATGCGCAGCCGGGCTTCGGAGCGATGATCCGGTGCTGGGGAGGCATCTCGGACGTGTTTCCCTCCGGAATTGATCATCCTGCAGTTGATGATGGGCGCGGGGTGAGTATCGCGTTGAATAAGGCTGCAAGTATATGAAAATAAAGTAATTAGTAACTAGTTTAGGTCTTAGTTAAAGTCTTATTTCCCTCCTTTGTAATCTAATATTTGCGACAAGCCAGTAAACCCACACAGCTAGTACATTTTTCAACATTTTCCAAAGCAATTAATTGAAACAAACGAACAGCAACAGACGCTGACTTTGGGAGTCGTCGGAGGAAAAACTCATGCATAAAAAAATATGCTAGAAATAATAAAATGCCAAGCTGCACAAAGCCCCAAAATGCAACATTCCAGGGCTGGGGGGAGATAAGCGAAAAGCAACAAACTTGCCAGAGGAGATCTGTTCATCCGCAGCGCAAGATGGAGCCAAAGACGATGGGACGCTGGCGGCGTTCATTTATTGTATTTGCCTTGTGGAGAAGCGGAGGCGGGGCTGGGGCGGACCAGCAGTGACACAATACAGCCAACGTGTTGCAAGCCAAAAGTGAAGTAGCTGGGGTGCGGGCGGGCAGCCAAATTGAGATACGCGGCAACGCTGCGTATGCGTGATATTCAAACAGCGCTGGCGGTTGTTGCCACAGCATGTGCGCTGGTTTGATGTTGCGTTTGTCGCCGCCTGGTGGCTGCCACAAGATAGAAGCCAAGCCGGCATCTGTCATCCCTGCGTCTTGCCAGTAATCACAAACATGGAGAAATAATAGAACCAGCTTCTGGATGGATATCCCAAATAATCTAAGCTTTCAGAAACCTGCCATGGTTTCTCTCTCTGCACCTTGTTAACGTTCCCCAGGCCTGTCTCACACGTCTTCATTTGCCTGGCTTTCCTGGGTCCTTGTGCCTCTTCGTCCTCTTTAAAAGGCAACAATGTGGCTCATTAACAAACCAACAACGAGCTGAAAACTGAGCCATCCAATGCCAGGCCCCGAGTCCTTACTTCTCGTGTCTGCGAGGCTATATCTTTCCCTTAGCTCTTTTGGGTCAAAACTTTTCTCATAGGAGTGGAAAAGTTTGTGCTCTGGAACTAGCCGAGAATCACCTTTGACCTGGGCAACTTTCCTATTTAGATTTTATCCTGCCCTCCACTGACCACCGCCCATCTTCATTTAAGGCACCACGTCTTATCCTCCGACCGAGTGGAGCATTTTATTATAAAGCTTATGCAATTTCCACATATCCTCGTTGCTTCCGTCTGACCTTTTACGTAAAAAGGCAGTCCTGGCAGTCCATTACAACCAGCCCAGGTAGCGAAAAGTAGAATAATAATAATAACAAAAACAAGTACCTGTGAAAGCAAAGCGCTTAGGCTGCTGGCAGGCTGCAGGAACATGTGTAAAAACCCATTGCCGAGCGCCTTTCAAGTGAAATCCCCAAAATTAACAAAAACCTATTAGGCCAAGCCTGGAAATCTGCAAAGGCGCCCTGGCCGGGGTACACATGCAACCGCCCGCCTTGCAACATGCAAATACTTTTTACATTACGAAAATGGGGAAAAGTCCGGGCGGGCAGTGGGCGGTGGGAAGGCATATATGTATCCTTTTGGCAGGCTGGCAAAACTTTTGCACTGCCAAAACAAAATATTTAGATAGCAAACGAGCACACACAGCCAGCACACACGCTCACCCCCACAAACAAACGAAAATAAAACAGGTGGGTCCTGCAAAAATATCAGAAACGAGAATGCTCCGCTTCTGGTACCCGCATGCCCTATAAACATGCTGAAAAAGTAGGGGAGTTATGCTACAATACTTCGTAAATCAAAACATTAGCCATAAATATAAAGTTTCCCAGTGCAAGTCAAATTTATGCGAAATTCGTGTGAGTTAACGAAATACCTGCGAAGAACACCTAGAACGTGGTGTCTGAATGGGGAATGAAGCGTGCGAGTGCTGTGGGTTTGATATTTGAAAGAAATTAGGGGTTTTTTGTTGGCGAATGTTTTAAAAGTCGTAATGGGTTATGGTGTTACTCCAAAGAAATGGTAACTCTGCTTATCAGCTTTTGAGTGCGTCAAGTGTCAATGTCCTTTAAGTATTTTTTAGTTAGGGCTCTCGCTTACAACATAATTTATTACTTCTTCTTGTGGGAACAGTCACTTGAAACTCGATCTTTACAATTTAATTATTTGTTGAGTTCAATGTTTGAATCATAATACAATGAATTCAAGGCAGTCTACACACTGAATGGACGTTAACGAAATTTGAATGGAATACATCGGTGGATTTTAGAGGAATCATCGTATGTCGTTTTTATCGATATTTTAAAGCCAAATTACTATAAAATGTGTGCCACAAATCAAAGAATTATTAAACCTCGAAGTGCTATAGTTTCGGTGAAATTTAACATTCAATTATATTTTCGTCTTTACCTTTCTAACGAACGCGTTCAATATGAATATGAACGCGTTTGAAGCCTTTAATATGAATCTGAGCTGTGAGACTAATAATGGAGGACCAGTATCTGTGACCTATATCTATATCTGTGTACTATATCGATTCTCTATGGCTTTCAAAGTAAACCTATTTTGAATACTTAGCTCGTGCTTTTTTACTTAATTTTTTTTGCAAAATATCGATTCAAAAAATAGAAATTAGTTCACTTTTGTTAACTTTAGCTAATGTAAAATGATTAAAGTAAATATGCATATAAATTTTAAACAATTTATTTAACTTTATGGCGATTATGGCTTTATAAAACTCAATAAACCGAATTTAAATGCCTTGCTTCCTTTCTGATATATGTATTACCAAGTGGGCAGAAAAAGTGGTAAAATTTTTCATAGTGCCCTGGTTGAGGGTTAACACCACACATGTAATTGACTACATTTTTATGCAAAGGCGCCAAATTATTTCCTTAAAGATGTTGCTTTCTATTGTTAATTCTCTGATATATAATTCTAGGCTTATAACAAACGCACTTCCTTAGGATTCATCTACCAAGCCGCAATCCATGAAAACTCCTCTATCATTATTACCCAATACAATCTCCCTTCCGTTCATTATCATCCCATTGGCCGACTAACAGCAACAAAGAAACTATTTACAACTTTCGCAACCTTTGCAGGACATTTTCATAGTTGATCAGCTGGGGGAAAAGTTTGCGATTGCTTCCTACTTTCTGATGCCCAGGTCCTGCGCCAGGATGATGAAGAAATTCGTGCTGCTGGCTCAGCCTTCTTGTTTGCGTTTCGTGCAACGCTGGCGAGGCAGGCAACCTGGCCTCAGTTCGCTGATTTATTTGTGCACAGCACAAAATTTCCGTTTCCGCCGGCGATGAGGCAGAAGTGGGGGCGGTACCGTGGCCAGGTCCTCCGCCGTCAGCCAGCAAGTTTCGTTGCAAGCTTCGGTGCTGCATAAATTAGGCAACAAAAAGTCAGTTTATGCATTTGCGACGTGTTATTTATGCGGGCGTGCAACAAACTTGGCTCGCTCGCTCGCAAATGTTGCACTGTCAACGACGAAGCTGGGCCAGAGCCCTTCCAGGGGAAAGCCGAGAAACAAGGCCATGAGCGTGGCCAAGGCTTATTAGTCAAGTTGGCAGACATGACGCGGGGCGGTTTTATTGAATCCATAAACTCAGGCAGCAAACGGGACCCCGGGGCTTTAAGGCTTTGCCGAATGGAGAAGCCAAGAAGCGCAATATGACTGTGAATAGTGCCCGGCGAGCCGTGCTCAGACAATAAATCGTATGTAAAATTTGTAATAAATTTGCAAAGTAGCAAATGCAGCAGCCACAGAGCTGAGACGCGGCCAACGGGGCGCATACGTAATGCAGATTTTCAGTGAAAGAAAGTCCAAAAATAAAAAACGAAAAACTGAAAACTGAAACCGAAAACGGGGCAAACCCCAGCCGCTGCTGCAGCAAATGCATAATAAAATGCGAATCTAGCACAAGGATATGTGTGCGCCACATAAAAAGGATATCTGAGGACAAAAAGGGAGCTCTGAAAATATATAGTTCCCTCCGAAAAGGAAAATGAATAAGGCAAACACCGCGGCCCCTTGGCAGCACAAAAAAAAGCAGAGTCCTGGCAAATGTAAAAAGCAAACGGATTGGGGGAAGCGGACAAAGCGGCCACTTAAACAAAAATGATAAAGGCAAAGAGAGCCGGACCCGGTCCGGGAGCCAGCGAAATGAGCTGGCTGGGCAAGCAAACTGGGCGAAGCACAGCTCCTGGCTCCTGGCATGAAAGAAATATCGCCGGCGATTTGCGGTCGAAGCTTGTCAATGTCAGAGGAAAGCAAATTAAACCAGAGTGCCGGGCAGCGTTTACTTTGGGGTGAAACTTTAAGAGCAGATTGGACAAAGCTGGGCAAACTTTGCCACTTCTACACACACTGACCTCTAACCACCAACCGCTGTTGTGTTTCAACATTAAAGTCTTCATTAAAGCCTTCAAATATTCGCTTTGGGGAGAACCTTCAGTTCCGCTGCCAGGACACTCAGCCAAATGAACTGTGAACGGGGAAATTCCGGGAAATGGCCAGACGGCGCAGGATATGCAAAAGGCGTCTTTTCCAGCAACGTCTGCCTGTCTGCTTGTTTGTTTGTTTGTGATTGCATTTAAAGCAAATAAATGCAATTATTTATTGCATTTCACAGCACTCGCAGGAATGGCCTCCCAGGACAGACAGCGATTGGTCAGTTTGGAAGGCTTAAATGGAAATCGTAGCCTGGATTTGCGCAAATACGCATATGTAATCGTATTTTAACATCGATTATGTGTGCAGGCCCGCGGGCGCCTGCCTTTTATAATCGCATTTTCAATTAAAATATTTAGTCAATTAATACACGCAAATGCGAATCGGATCACGGATACGTCATGTCCGCAGTTCACGCTCAAATTACTCGCCCGACAGCAGTAATTTATGTGTTGATTATCGAGGGCATTTGGCGTATTAGTGCATTTCAGTTCTAGTCACAGTCCTGCGGAAAAAACAAATCTAACATCGAATGCATTTATCGCACTTAACACGCAAAGCAAATAATGTCCCTGGCTGAGCACATACACACAGGACACACAAGGATATATACAATTCCTTCGTGTTTATTTGCCACGGAGTGTGGTTGTGTTTATTTGGTGACAGGCGTTGTGATTGCACGTGACAGGCGACAAGATAGTCGGAAGCGCACTCCCAGGATAGTGACAATTACAAATTAAATGCCGGCCAGAAACACTCTCGTCGGGGAAATAGCAATTGACATTTTTTATTGCTCGTCACTGGTATAATTCAATGTAATCCAATTCAAAAGGATAAAAACCAGTTAGAAGCAGCACTCACAGCTCCTGAAAAATGCATGCAAATTTGTGCATTTTTTGTTGTCAGATTTGTCAGGTTTTTGCATTACAAATCAATTACAGCCGGCGTGTCAGGGCAGTGGGTGTGGGAGTGGCCTCTTGCAGGAACTTTCGGCACCTTCTTCCTCTTTCGACCGCCCCCACTCTCATGCAAATCACGTACGTTTGCATTTTGTCAAAATGCGTTTTGCGCCTACAGAACCTCCAGCAACAAATGCATTTATGCTCAGAGCGACGGGGTGTGCGACCGGGTGTGTGGGTGTGCGAGTGCAAATAATGACAGACAGCATAAACAAACACGCACATCAGACTCTGACTGGCGTCTATGGCCGCAGGGGCGACCGCAGGAGCAGCAGCGGGAATGCCAGGATGCAGGACACGCCCCCACACAAGCACTAAACTTGGCACGTCACTTGTTTCCGCATTTTGCACGTAACGGACGGATGGTCCTAAGAAATGCGACTACAAGCCAGCCAACTAGTTGTCTATATTTTTAAAAAATTATTTCTTAAAGTAATATTCATTATATTAGTTAGAGAGGCTTCCTGAAGACTTCCTAGACTACTTCCATAGGCATACTTTCTAAACTGACTTAGTTTATTAATTTAAAGTCTTGTTAAAGCCTCCTTGTATTCTCCGAGTGTAGGAAACCCTGCCACTCACGCACCCTACGCCCCCACTTGAACTGCACGCATGCAACAGTCATAGAGCCGGGCCATCTGAATTCATTAAAATATACCATATTCCGACTTGTACACGCACACAGGACACATACAAGCATCCAATATGGTCGTAGGTCCTTTCGGCCCTGATTGATGGTAACCCACTTAGCCAACTAATGAACTTTGCCACAGTCTTAGCCCGTAAATTAAATTTCAAGCGAGCCCAGCCCGAGCCCGAGTAAATATTTAATAATCAACTGGCATTTTGGAAATGTAAATACCATTGGCCAGGCTGTGGATCCTTGGTCGGCTTTGTACTTTAGTTGTTGTGCAGGCGTGTCGGAGTAGTTCTGGAGAGGGGAAAAAAAATACAAAACGCAAGGACCTCCCACGCAACCGACTCCTGAAGCAATCTTCCCGGCCAGCGCCAGCTTGATGAAAGTAATCAAAAAACTTGGCTGGTTTTTTGTGCAACTACTGCAGGCGATCCAGGGCAGCGGCACAGGCAAAGGAAAAATGCTTTCCGCAGAACTGTTTGTAAACCATAATTGCGCGCAAAAGTAGCTAACAGCCAGGTGAACCAAATAAGTGCTTCTCCGCCACCAGCACTTTGCTAAAAATTTCATGGGAAAAATTTAATACACACCTGGCTTGGAGCTCCAAACACAGGGAACAGTGAAAAAATGAAAAATAAATTAAAACAGGAAAGGAAAGCGCTCAGCTCGCACAATAATCACCAAAATGAACACACTGCAAACTAGTGCGAACAGTTCCGCGCACAATTATGAGCCATATTTTCCACCAACCCCAGCACCATAGCCACCATCACCCACCAGATGCCCCTTTCTCATTTTCGCCATTCGAGGAGCACTTCTGGGCTCCACCCTGCCGGCTCATAACCGGCGAAATGCCGGCACCAAATGAGTTTTATTCTCGAGTATGTCATGAGGAAGCCCGAAAAGAAACCCCAGGTGGTGCCACGGGCTTTCTCTGGGCGGGAAGCCAGCCGAGTAGGTGTCGAACCGAACTCAAGCAAAAGTGGAACTTGTCGATAGCATTGGGAAAAGAATGAAACTTTTTGTCGCTGCTCTGGCGCAGAAAGCCATAGAAAAATCGCTTGATTATTTGCGAAATGCTGGGGTCAGGTAGCTACCTACCTACCTGGCAGGTGGAAACTTTCCAAAGTGCGGATGGGGTACTAAAAAATTGAAGGGTTCTGTGCTCGGGCTTAAAACTTTGGGAGCTGCATAGAAGGTATTACCATTTTAGTGGTAGTTTTCGCGTGAGCCAGCCTGGATCTGATTGAAAAAGCCTTTTAAATCTTTACCGCTCATGCGCCCGACATGATTTTGCGCTCAGCCGGCAAAAAAGGGCTTCCCCCATAAATATTTTCCAATTTATTTTCCCAGCTTGTTCAAACATAGATTCGCTCGTCTCGGCTCCTTTTTTTGGCTTCCACACACCTGTTTTAATTTAATTTGCAGCATATTGAAAACAATTCTTCCCCCGGTTATCTCGTAAACCTCTCGAAAGTGACCAACAAAAAAAACCAATCAAACATGGTACACAACAAAACGCTTCAGCACTCCATGGCCAGAACAGTGTGTGGCGCGCGGGCAGACATGGAGTGCATTTTGCCATCGACGCCACTTGAGCACAATAAAAATTCGCTGAAATAGTCAAAAAATAAAAAATAGGGAGAGCAGCAGGGATGGACTATTGAAAACGAACGAATATTGATGGCAAGTCTTTAGGGTTGAAGGAAAAGGCCAGTACAGTACAAGTGACTACATGACTACAGTGACTATATGATACCTGGTACTTCTCTCATCCACTCCATTCTTCCTGATGATAACCACATTGATTGTCTTTAATTAATCTAAATATTCGGTAGATTCTTAAATAAACATGTTATCCATTCCAGTAATGGGTTTTTTTCTACACAAATTACTATTAACTAAATGTGTTCTGTGTCTATAGAAGTTTTTCCAAAGCAGATCTTGAATTAACCTTTTTTCATACTTTTGGGTGCTTTACAAGTACTATTACCAGGTACTGTTCCATTATACTTTACGCCCTTACTTTGTATTCAAAAACTATTCTCTCTCTTTCTATAAAGATTAATATAAAATAAATTAATTCCTTGTCTATGTAATATATGTAAAGGTAGATCCATAAAACATCCATTTTGAGCCCCATTTGGAAATATGCCTTACCCATCTATGGTGTATATAAAGACAAGGGACATCGAAAGGGAGCTGAAGATCCCTAAGGTAGGAAATGTTTACTGGACACACTCCGAAAACTACATGGGCGCCTTGAAAGTCTCGCCAACAACGTGGCAAAAATATTGGTACGAAGACCCAGGATAAGAAGGCTTAAAAGATTTCATCCAGTGGATCTCCTCCTGCGCCATGTGTAACATTTTATAAAAATTAAAATATTACAAATTCAAATAATACCAAATGTATACCAAATAATACCAAAGGTAGCAGTATTCTTGTTGAACTTGAAAGAATGAAAACGTATAAAAAAAAAAATACTTTTAGACTACTTTTGGATGCTATCAAATAAGTGTTTAACACTACAATACCCGGTACTCTTCTCTTTTTCTATAAGGGTTACTGTTAATTTAACTCCTTAATATTTGTAAAGTAGATTCTTAATCCATATTTTGTAGCTTTCTTTTGGGGCTTTGCTATATTCACTTTTAAATTAATGAATTCGTTGTCTGTGTAATCTTTAAAAAAAATTTAAAAAATATAACGTTCATACTTTTGGAAGTTTATGAACAAGTCCCTGAAACTATTATTATCGTAAATAATATAATAAATGAAACTATTTAAATAAAAGTAAATCTTTTCTTCTTTGGTGACTTAATTAAGGTGATTATTCTTTTAAATTCAAAATTGTTCTGCATACTTTTAAGGTCTTTGCAACCAGCGCCTGTAACAATTATTAGCCTCCATCCTTACTTCATGAGGTTTGATGTCATTTCCTAAATTACCGCCCACCCGATCCCCATTGTAACACTTTTCTCCCAATTTAATCGACAGTTGGCCCTGGAAATGAGGGCTTGTCTGGTCCCTGGGATTTCGGTTTGCCACTCACCCATTAAAAACGCCCGTATCCACGTAATGCGTGTAGTAGAAAATGCTAACCACCGTAATGGCCAGCAAAGCGAAGACGCATCTCCGGACGTTGAAGCCAAAGCAGCGACGCGCAATTAAGCCACAACAATGGCACATCCATCCGCCCGCCTCCGAGGAGGAGGAGCCACCGCCACAGCAACTCGCCAGGTGGTTACCACTGGCCATTGATGAGGTTGGACTGCCGTTAAACTCGAGGCTGACACTCCCGTTGCCATTTCCAGTGGCGCTTCCATATCCATTTCCATTTCCATTTGATTTCCCCTTGTACGTGACAATGTTGCTGGCGGCGGCGCCACCAGCGTCCTCCAAAGGCAGCAGCATTGTGCGATCCGTGGTGGCATGGCCATTGCCAAAATGCTTATTGAAATTGCCAAAGTTCTTTGCATTTGCATCCGCATTTGCATCCGCATTCGCACTGGCATCCGCATCCGCATCCGTTTGAGTTCCGGTCACGGAGGTTCCCAACTGCATCTGCGGCTGCTTAATGAGTTTTTCATATTTGCGACCGGCATTGCTATTTTGTTGGAGGCTGTCTGATATTGTCATATTGCTGCTTGCCTCTCTGCGGTCTGTGGTGGTCCGGTGGTTATATGTACATCTGAGTCCTTCTATAATAATTGGCAGATATGTCTCGTACGCGTGTAGCTCGTACTGACTAAGCAAACACTCGTGTTCTCTATGGCACTTGATTCCTCCGCGGCATGAGTGTCTACCTTAATTTTCTCATAAACTCTACGAATATGATTATTTTCTATAAATCTGGTTTCTGGTTGTCGGTTCGTATTGTTTACTTTTCATTTCGCCACTTGATATGTTTCCAAATTTTTAAATATTCATGTTGTTTGGCCATTGTGTCGCCCGCCTCTGGATGTCGTAGCTCTTGCCACTGCTGTGAGTGCGGCCATTATCAGTCCAGTTGGTGGTGGAGCCCAGTTCCAGACTCTTGACTCGGTATCAGGCATTGACTGCCATTTCAGTAGGTCACCGCCGTCTTATCTGCAATCCAAACAAAATAGAGAAATCATAAATAAAACGTGCTTTTAGTTGGGCTTGGTAATCTGAGAAACAAAGTGGTTGGTCTTGTTCTTAAATAAACTAATACTTTTATTTTTATATCTTGTTGAGTAATCTTATCAGTTTAAATGTTATAATTACAAGGAAAAGCTTCTGGCTTGCTGAAGTGCAATGAAAACTAATAAGTGGTTTATAGAAAGTAGGTTACAAATAAGTAATTCTTTAGAAATATGAAACCTTTATTGAAGTGTCTTCTTTATTTATTTCTTTCTGAAACTTAATTTAGATACCATGTCTAGTTTAAGTTAAATACTCCATACATTTCCAACTATATCCGACCATATCAGTTTCTCCCTCTTATAAAGCCTCCTCACATTTCATTTTATTTTTGATGGCCAGCCCATTTCAATTATGTGTGCCACATATTTCACGCACTTTATCTAGGCTTGTTATCACAACTAATTGATGATGACATTTCGTCGCTCGTAGCTCCCAGCTCCCCTTGGCGCCACCCAATCTATTTTGTAACAGCGCCTTGAGCTTCAGGTTACAAGTTATTTGTTTTCTTTTTCCGCTTGTTGGAAAACTTGTCAGCTTGTTGGCGCGGCCCTCTCCAATGGAATGCAAACAAAATGCCAAGAAAGCCGCATAAAGCGCCGCCGATTGCCGAAACCGCAAATGGGAATCGTACCTCGGAGGACGCGGATGTGAATGTATCTCGGGGCTGGTCCTGTTCGACCGCGTGAGCCTGTGCGTGTGTGTTTAGCCATTAAGTGCATATGCCTGCCGCAGTTTACAGAGGTCTTAATGGCCTCCACACACACCCTGACAACAATGTACAATTTAATTGGAAATGGTTGCCGGCTGACAACCGACAAATAAAGACAACATACTTGGGGGCGCTTTATGGAGCTGCGAAACGAGTCAATAATGAGTTTTAGATGGCCAGCGCCATGTCCTTTGTGCCATGTCCTCGACAAACACCCTCGAACATGTGTTTCCCGATAACAAACACAATAAACACTTTTCAGATCTGAAAGTCAAACAAACTTTGCAAATATCGCTATAAAGCAGCTTCAACTTTGGAGTCGATCGAGTTCGCATCGCTTAACATTCGATGAAGCCAAACTATTTAGAAGAAATCCGAGTGTGTGAGAAGAGTGGCAGCGGGGAAAGTCAATTCCTCTCACTTAAGCGTACTTTTTCAATTTCAGACAAGACTCCGAACATGAGTTCACTTCATAAGTCCTGGCAAGCACTTGGAGCAATTTATAAACTGGATTCCTCCATCGGAGCCACCAGAAGAATAACTCGGCATCGCTGCCATTCCTTGCCCTTGTTTTGCTCTGCATGTTACAAATTTATCATTAAAATGTCAAAACTTAAATTGATTCAAAAAGTTTAGGAACAGCGTGTGGCAGCAGCAGTGACAATGCTGCTGCCCCATGCCTCCCCACCCACTGACCTCGCTTCTTTTCATTGCAGAAGCAAGAAACAGCGGCAGTGGCAGTGGCAATGGAACAAAACTCGGGCAGGAGCTGAAAGAAAAGTTTACTTGTGTTGTCGGGAGAGCTCTGGCTGCCGATGCTGCTTTCTTTCTGCTTCCTCGGAAGAAGATGCCGCATACTTTAAGGCGCTCTTGCAAAAAACTTTCGCCGCTTCTTCGTTAGGGAAACTTGTTTAATTTCCTCTTCAATTGCCCGAGAAACCAAGCGAGACAAACCGAAAGTTGTCCTGCCCCCGAGTCTATCAGAGTGCCGCATTTGCTTTTGTTTCCCTCCTTGGGTTTTCTAAACTTTTAGATTCAATTGTTATTTGTTTGCTGGTGATTTGCTCGTCAGCCAGTCGCCGGGATTCACCTTTGAGATAATTCACACGTAAGGAAATCCTTTCAGGCATTAATGGGGACACACTCCAGCCGTACATTAGGTGACAGCGCCCTTAGCAACGATCTCTAAAGATCTTTAAATATTTCTTCCAGCTTCTCAAAGGTAAAAATACTCTTCTCAAGTACACAAATAACAGAGTCTCACTTCATAAAGTTTTCATCTAAAACCTGGAGGGCTGCCACCTATGTTGAGATATTCCCCTGACTCCGACTCCGAGGCCATTACTTCCCTATCCGAATAATCGCACATGTTACAAACAGTTTATATGAATTAGCCGTGTGAGTTCTTGAAAGTGTTTTATGTTTACGTTGAATTCACTTTGGATGTAAGGGAATGGGAGGGGAAAACGATTGAAACTTTTCACACTTTCCACGCATTCGCTCCCCTCGCCGAAAACGGTTTTTAAAACTATTTATTTTACGATACGTTTTGTTTACATTCCTCGAGCGGGTCGAGGTCCGAGGCTCCCTCAGAATATTTTCCCAAAATTGCATTGAGGCGTGAGGCGAACGGCAGCATCTGAAACACAATGAAGGGCCCCCGCGAGATAGCCTTTTGCCAGCCCTTTGTGCTGGCCATTTGTCAGTCACTGGATGCCCCCCTTCAGTATTTGCCTGCATTTTCCTATTATTTCCCCCATTTTTAAAATAGTTTTTCGCGCATTCATGCCCGGCTGTCAGCGGCCAACATATTGATAATCGTTTTCCATTTGTGTCGGACAACCAGCAACCCGGCTAGAAAAATCAATTGTCTTTGGTAAATTGAATTGCAGCCACGATACAAGTTTAAACAAAAACCCGTCCAGACACATGACTTTGGCTTTAACCCACTGGCAGCTGACAAGACCTCAGCGTCTGGAATCCGAGTCCCCAGTTTCTGTTTCTGTTTCTGTCTGGTTATTATTTTGACTGATGAATGTGACTTTTGCGTTTCCATTACAGCGACGCCCTGTCTGATTGCCTTTCCGCCTGGACTTTCCCCCTTTTCCGACTCTGCCAGATGCGTGGGCGCGACTCTGCGCTACTCCCTCCCGACCAGACCCCCGAAAAGCAGTTTTCCGATGTGTATACCTATAAACAAATTTGTATCTTAATGAGTTTTTCACACTTTAGCGCCTCCTCCATAGACACTGTTTGTGTGTCTTGGAATCGGAATCGGAATGTCGGAGCCTAATGTTCTTTCAATGTTCTGCTCCGATGTGTGGGTCTTCATTATTAATGCCGCCATAAATCAGTTGGCCCGACAATTAAATTGACACATTTCTGTATATTTGAGGTTTGTATTGTGATTTCTGGTTTTTGTTTCAGCTTACCAGATTAATTGCCCGGCTAGGCTAGGCTAGGTGTGATTTGAAGTGTGTTCTTCCAGGTTCTGGTTTGTGGCTTTGGTCTAACTAAGTCTTTTATTTAATTAATTGAATTCATAATCCAGTGAGCGTAAGTTTCATTAAAAGCCTCGGACTTGAGCAAACAGATAAGCCTTTATTTAAAGAATTCATTTTCCATTTCCCACGGAACAATGTCTCCAAAGTGTCTGCCGAGAGACTCCCCCTAATGGTTCAGCTTGTCGGCTTTCCCTTTTCTGTCAGTTATCCCCAACACTCGGCTAATGGTCTTTATTGTTGGCCTTTGACTTTCCGACTTCCTACTCTGCCTACTCTGCATATTCCATTTGGAAAGTAATACATTTTTGAGAAAGCATACACTTCTGAAGAATTTCCGATTGGTTAATTAGGAAAAATTAGCAAAACATTGAAATGCACTCAGAATCGGAGAAGTTTTATATTGACAGACAATTTTTATTCAGCATCTTTTCCCTTTATTTCTGGAGCACCACGAGTCGAGCCAAAGCCGCTCGAGAAGACACTTGCAATGTGTTCATTTGCAGATTTGTGTGCTGATTCGACGCCAGCAGCCTTTGGGCCAAGAAGGGGGAGCTGGGACGGGGGGGCGGGTCGAGCGGGGCAGGTGGCCTGTCAGACTGACTGACCTAGATTCGTCTAAAAATACTCAGGCACCAATAAAATGCCAGTCCAAAGTGTTTGAATGTATTCTACATCACTTTGATTTTTATTTCAATTTTCCCTCCGAGGAGGAGGGGACCCCCAGTTAGGGGGGATGGATCTCGTTCGAGGGCTTCAAGTGCTGAGCTCTTGAGGCTCCGGCTCTGGTGAGCAATTTGCACAATTGAAATACTGTTTGCCCAGCGCTCGTCTCCCACTAATGAGGGCTGCAACTTGCCACGGCGAGGGATTTTCCATTTTCTATTTTCGGATCTTGCCGCAGTCTCGATATCCCCGCTGAATATAAATGATTGCCACATCATTCTCTCCACCTAATGCCAGCAGACACTCTTTAAAGGCAGCACTTTGGCTGCGATATTGGCCTTAAAGTAGGACATACCCATAAGGCAGTATCTTCTCCTGAGTCACTCCTGCCAAGTCCGAGTATGATAGTATGATAGTGCTGATTCTGGGGGCCTCGCAAGAAACATTCGCAGGAACAGCCCATAACAAGTCAAAACCAGTTACACGCCCGGTCAATTACACAGAGAACCGAAACCCAACACCAACGCAGCCTCGTCGCTTATGACTTGCACTACCAATCCCCTCCAGACTGGCGGCTGGCTTCTCGGAAATTTGAGGCTTCACTGTCACTCACTGGGAGCCCGGGCCAGAAGTGCGTGGGCCACCGCGGGCCGCAGCCCACGACAAGATCTTGGCCAAATTGTTGGTTGCACTTGCAGCCAGTTGGTAGAAAAGAAAGGGAGCTACACAGAAGAAAACATATTTCAACCAATTGTATAGTTTTGGGATTAAAGACTAGTAGTTTCTCGCCGTGTAGCTCTGCGGTCGAAACGGCATGTGAACGAGGTTGAGTTCACAACTCGGTTCGGTTTCTGTTCCCTGCTGGAGAGCCCCAGAATCATTTCCAGACATTGACAATGGCCCCTGTGACTCAGCCGACCCGCAGCAGGGAAATGAACCAGTGCCCGGGAAGGCGGCTGAAGAGGGCGTGGCACGGAGGGCACGGAGGGGAGGCCAGCCACGTGGGCGTCCATTAAAAGAAAACGAATTGCTGGCCCAATTTGTGC